GGGGTGACTTCTCTTCCACCCCAATGCCTTCTCTTCTTCCTTCTCCTCCACCCCCATTGTAATTCCCATCATCATCATCCAGGAGCCTTCTACATACACACCTCAAAGTAAGTGAACTTTTCTACCATTTTTTTTGAATTTAGGAAATTTTCGGTGAGCTGGAACCAATTACCCAAAAACCCATTGAAACAATGGTTTTGGTTAACGAACTTTTCGGTTAACGAACGACCTTCTGGAACGGATTGAGTTCGTTAACCGAGGGGTCACTGTATGTATCTACGTATCTCGGTTAGTGACCATTTGCGAGTGAAACATCGTAGAAGAAAAGCGGGTGCTACTATAGTGTGCGGTCTACAACGATATCTTAAGTTAACTTAACCTGACTTAAATATCTTGTTGACTTCATGCTACAATAGTGCTGATGAGTCTTAGAATTGTCTAAACTAATGTTTTTAGAGAAAATTTTCAAAGATTTGGTTGGTATGAACAAATGCATAAATAACTTTTCTAGTACGTAGCTCTCTTATTTTCAACTCACAATATCTCATTATAGGTAAAATTTCATCGAAGGCGTCAAAGTAGAAAATTATCATGTTTTTGTCTGATATTATCATTAGACCACAGAAAACCATTATTCAGTATCTAATTTTGTTCTTTACTACAAATTGACCATAATGTTTGACTTTCATTCCACAAACACCAGCTTATGAACCCATAACTAGGATGGTGATTTTCTTAAGCAGTTTTTGGTTTGTGGAATAGTTACTTGGCTGGATTAGGTTAGGTTTAGTGGTAATTATTAGGGTGTTACTGTATTATCGTTTAGATTATCCAGCAATTTTAAGGATTTAAGTTTTGGAATGAGTAGTTTAGACAATTCTAAGACACTTTTCCTATGACATTTTCCCACTCGTAATTGCTTTCAGAGAAAATCGCAAAAAAAATAATGGTTTTGGGTGGGGAAAAAATCACAAAAAGTAGTAATTTGCAATAGAAATGAAGGTCAGAGTACCGTACAGTAAAGCCTCGAATAACGACGGTAATGTGTCCTCCAATATTGCAGTGTAAGATGAATCATTGTATCGCGAATCATTAACTACTATTAAAATAAAGCAATAATAATGAGATGCGTTCCCAAGTGTGACCTTTTCATATCTTTTGTGTGGCTTTTTACCCTCTTTTCCCCCAAATCAATACAATTAATGAAAATTTGAAACTACTGTATAATCTTTAAATAACGTTTCTAAATGCACCTTATACAATATAAATGAATAATAATTTGGTCACACAAGAGGAGATGGGACGCCATTGTTTTCGTTTGTGTTTACAGCCGAGAGTCCGGGACGATAGTTCTACACGAGAAAATGAAGAAAATAAGACCCTGGTTGTAGCATTAGTAAAACTAATGCCCCCAAAAATTAATATACAGTGGTCCCTCGGTTAACGAACACAATTTGTTCCACAGAGTCGTTCGTTAACCAAAAATTTTGTTAACCGAATCTATTATTTCAATGGGATATTGGATAATTGGTTCCAGCTCACAGAAAAGTACATACAAAGTATAAACAAAATGCAGTAAAGTACACTTACTTTGAGGTGTGTATGTAGAAGGTTCCTGGTTGATGATGATGATGGGAATTAGAAGTGGGGGTGGAGGAGAAGGAAGTGGGGGTGGAGGAGAAGGGAGAAGAGAAGCATTTTAATGGTTCCTTGGAAGGCGAGTCACCTTCCATAATAATGTCAGGAACCTCTGGACTGACAGATTCTTTAAAATAATCCTTTCTCCTTTTTGGAGAGGAACACTGAGGGGAATCGTCTTTCTCACCTATGCGTGATGCAGTAATTTCACCAGTAAAATTTTAAGTTCACAGCTGTAATTAAAGATTATTTTATTTAAATCAACACTGCACTGCTCTATATATTATCATTATGTTAACTAAATTTCAGAATGACCAATAATTTTAATGTAAAAACGTAAAAATATTCTGTATTCAAGAGACCAACAAACACGATGTTTCCTCCACTGTAAACAAAGTTAAACAGACGCTTTGGCGGGTGAATTAAGAGGCTGATGGGTGCACACAAAACTAGTTCCCTGTACTGCATATATGTTAACTAAATTTTAATATGACTACTAATTTTAATATAGAAAATGCAAAAATATTAAAGAGCACAACTTTCTTGATATATTTACTCCACTGGAAACGAATGTAACATAGAACCAATTACTGTATTGGCAGACTAGCCGATCAGCTGATGTGCACAACAAAACGTGTTTGTCAAAAGGATTTCGTTAATCAAAGTTTTGTTCGTTAATCGGACTGAAAATCCTTATGGGAGCTAGTTCGTTAACCAAAATTTCATTAATTGAACCATTCGTTAACCTCTGGACCACTGTATATGCTTTAAATAATGTTATTTACAGTAATGTTAATAAACGGAACAATAGAAGTAGCTAACCACTAATGGCAGAGAAAAAAAAAGGAGATGGATTGGGAACGCCAACAAATACGTGCGCATTTAAGGATACCGCGTCATTTATCTTTTTAAGAATATGTACAGTGGTCCCTCGGTTAACGAGCACAATTCGTTCTAGAAGGTTGCTCGTTAACCGAAACCATTGTTTCAATGGGTTTTTGGGTACAGGTTGACAATCCCTTATCCGAAATCCTTGGGACCAGATGCATTTTGGTTTTTGGAATTTTTCGGTTTTCAGAATGTTTTTTTTTTTTTACAGGGATACCTGGGCACAGGTCACTGACCCACATTGGGGCCTGGGGGCTAAAATATAATAATAATAATTATAATAATAATAATTCATAGGTCTAGGTCGTGTTTCTCACTTTTGATCTTTTTTTCATTCTTGTATTTCTTTATTATTATTATTTTATTACAGTATTATTGTTATTATTATTATTGCTATCATTCTTATTTTATTTTTGTGTATTTTTTATTAAAAATCTCATTTACTATGAATAATTATTATTATTACTGTATTATTATTATTATTATTATTATTATAATTATTATTACTATTACATTTTCACCCCCCAGGCCCCGGTGTGGGTTAGTGACCTGTGGCCGGGTGGGCTAATACCAAAAAAAAAATGCTCCACAAATTTTTTTTTCTGTTTTCAGAGCTTTTCGGTTTTTGGAATTTCGGATAAAGGGTTGTCAACCTGTAATTGGTTCCAGCTCACCGAAAATTGCCTAAAATCAACAAAAAAGGTAGTAAAGTACACTTACTTTGAGGTGTGTATGTAGAAGGCTTCTGGATGTTAATGATGATGGGAATTAGAATGGGGGTGGTGGAGAAGGGAGAAGAGAAGGCATTGGGGTGGAAGAGAAGTCACCCCATGGCACCATTTCACCCATAAAATTTTAGTTCTCTTGGTGTAATTCAAGATTATTTTTTTTAAATCAACGCTGCACTGCATTATATACGGTATTGTCAATAATGTAAAATAAATTTCAAATTGACCAATAATTTGCTTGGAAAAAGAGAAAAAAGCATTTAGTTGAAGAGAGTCTCAAGCAAGATGTTACCTCCACTGAAAAGACAGAGACTGACGCCTGTATGGTGTGTTGACAGGCTGTATGGCGGGCAAAAAACTAGCTTCCTATACTTCAATTTTGTTCAATAATTGTTAAAATGACTAAAAAAATTAATATAAAACTTTTAAAATTATTGAATAGTATAAACTTCTTGATATTTACTAAAATAGTAAGGAATTTAAGCCCTAGAACCGATTACTGTATTGGCGGACTAATACTACAGCTGGTGGACCGCCAAATGCAAGCGAAAACATGTTGAGGTCAGCTCGTAAAAAACGCGTTAATCGGGGGATTGCTCGTTAACCGAAGTTAAGAATCTTATGGAAGGTAACTCGTTAACCGAGGGATCACTGTACAAAAGATTCATTATTGTTTATTACTGAATATGTATTTGCTTGAATTAATCTTTATATATGCGAAATGAACAATACAATTCATTAATAATGCGTAGAATATTAAAACGCACAAGAGGATAAGAGACGGCATTGTTGTCAGTGTTTCCACCCATAATGTCAGTTATCCACCCGAAACTGAAGAAAATAAGACCCTGGTTGTTTTTGATGTAGTAAAATTAATGTAAAAAATATGTGTTTTAATTAATGTTATTTAATGTACAGTAGAAAACCACTGATATTAAAGAAAAAGTGAGACTGATAGTAGAACGCCAATGTATACGTGCACACTCAAGGAAACATAGTCATTTATCTTAAGAATATGAACAAAAGATTCAATATTGTTTATTACTGAATATGTATTTGATTGGATTAATGTTTTTATATGTGAAATGAACAATGCAATTCATTAATAATACGTAGAATATTAAAACACACACGAGGAGACAAGACGGCATTGTTTTCGTGAGTGACGATGGTTCTACATAAGAAACTGAAGAAAATAAGACTGGTTGTAGTTGTAGTGAACTTAATTAAAAAAATGAATACTTGTATGTATGTTTTAAGTAATGTTATTTAGTGTTAATAAATGGAACACTAGAAGTAGCTAACCATTAATGGTAAAGAAATAAAGCGAGACGAGTGGGAACGCCAACGTATGTACAGTAAGTGCGTACATGTGAAAACATATCGCCATTTCTCTACATATGAATATGAAAGCAACACTTATTTACTGTTCATATATGTTTTAAATGATATTTTATTTACGAATGTAAAACAAAACTTCTACTCACCAATGGTGGTAAAGTCTAAAACATAGGACAGCCAGTAAGTGTACTTTTTGCATTTTTTTTTTTACTTTGTGTGTACTTTTCGGTGAGCTGGAACCAATTACCCAACATCCCATTGAAACAATGGATTTGGTTAACAACATTTTTGGTTAACGAACGACCTTCTGTAACGAATTAGTTAACCGAGGGACCACTGTACTATACTTATATATTATGACTTGAGAGCTCTTATAGGTCCTTTACTTTAAATTTTCTATTTCAGATCAGTGGCCAAGAACTGCTTCAGGATGGCCGAGCACAAGTGGGACAACAGCAAGTGTAGCTTTCATTCGCAGAGAAAAAATTTACATTGGTCATGTGGGAGATTCAGGAATTGTTCTTGGATGTGAAGACCCGAGTAAGTTTTTGTGCAAGTATGATAAAGCCATATGCTATTTTGTTTCAGTACTGTATACTTTTCTCATAAGTAATTCCATCTACTCCTGAGCCCTCAACCTTTTCTCTTGTAGTACTATTTTCCTCCTCTGCTTTGGTACCTCTACTGTATATTCAATTCATGTCCTAAACATGATAACTTTCTTATCTCTCTCTCTCTCCTCCAGTATAACCATCGCTCTTATTCTTTACTGACCATTGCCATTTGTTCTCTAGGTTTCTCGCCCTTAGTAGTTCCCTCAAGTACAGCTTCTTCTCTATAAAAACTCAACATTTCATCTGCTTGTCTTGCATTTTTTCACCATTCTATGAACTTCCCTCTAATCTTTACCCTTCCTTTGTCATGTTTTTGCGAGTGGTGCTTATATATATATATATATATATATATATATATATATATATATATATATATATATATATATATATCCTGTATGTTGAGTGTGCCAAATTTTAATTGCAAATTGTTGTTTATCTAACAGATGGAAGTTGGCGTGGTGAAGCACTGACACGAGATCACAAGCCAGAGAGTGTTGTAGAGAAAGCACGCATTACAGAGTGTGGAGGAAAGGTTATCAATAAATCTGGTGTCCCACGGGTAGTGTGGAACAGACCTAAATCTGGCCACCAAGGTCCTGTCCGTAGGTCTACACCCATGGATGAAATACCATTTTTGGCTGTGGCACGGTCTTTAGGTATGTTGTCTAAATGGTAATGAAATACTAGACAGGAAAAGAGAAAATATTATTGAGAACAATTAGTACTATACAGTACAGATATTTTGAATTACAGTATTTTGCTGCCATGTTATTTAACAAAAAAATAAGGTGAATTTGTTCATGTACAGAAATATAAGTTTGTAAAAACAAATTTTTATTTTAACAGGAGACCTTTGGAGTTATAATGCAACAAATGACCAGTTTGTTGTTTCCCCTGAGCCAGATGTCTGTGTCATGCCTATTGACATAACCCGCCATAGATGTCTTATATTTGGCACCGATGGTCTCTGGAATGTCCTTACACCAGATGCTGCTGTCAATGTAGCTCACCAGGCAGAGAGAAACAATGAAAAACATTATCTAGGTGTACCTAACTCTTGTGGCAAGGTAAGCAAATCCAGTACATAATGTTCATGTGGGAGGTTATTCCAAGTCTGTGTATATCCATGTTACTTATTTGATTAAATATTTGCACTAAGACAACTAGTTATGAGAAACATGAAAGTGTGTGCCTCTGGGAAGTGCTAACTTGTAAGTAACTGAGAGTTATAAAAGTGGGAAGTTTGGGAAATTTATGGAGTAAGGAATGAAGATGTGAGAAGGGTATGTTAGATCGAAAAGGAGACGGCACAGAGACAGATCAAGAAGGATGGGTTATGTATGTACAGTCACCCAAATGAATGATGTCATTATTTCCAGATTTGGGTATCTGGCAATTACCTACCAGACACTTTTATTTTTCAAGGTGGAACACAATTTTGTGAAATGGTAACAAATTAATTAATAAATGCTTAAGAAGTTTTTCTTAAGAATATTATAACAAATTGTGCAGTAAAAATTTTAGTACACTGTAATACTGTATTTTGAAATGAATTAATATGACATACAAGATTATTGCTCAGGGACATTCAGGAACAATTTACGGAGTTAGAATTGGGCGTCAAAATGAAAAGGTAACATTATTTGTTTGTAGCTTAAATGAACATTGAATAAATGTAATTTGAAATAATTCTCACTCACCACATTTATGCCCTGTCGTTAATGAGTATGTAAACTAATATACATGTATTGTACTCTGTGTTCACCACCTCGATGGACGATGATGTAAGGCGGAAAACATTCACCCCCCCAAAATTTTACATTTGGTGAACTACCGTATTTTACAACATATAAGATGTACAGCCATAATAGACACACACCCCATTTTAGTCGGCAGTATTTAGGATTTTTTTCCTCCTGTAACCACAGTCTTAATAATTATATACAGTTCCAGTAAATGTGGGAATAAATAAAAATAATACCAATAAATAAGTTAAAACAAAAAATACTGTATTGCCAATCCAGTAAATGAAAGCCAAATGAAAGTTTAACACAGTTGCCATTTGCATATACAGTACAGTACTGTACTCCTGCTTCACCAAAGCAACAGAGACCAGCAGGGACGCTACCTCGGCCGATTCCCCACACATCTTGCCTTCCTCCCACTCCCTTTATGTGTTTGCCCTTAGAAAAATTATTTCTTTTACTCTTTTTTCACATTATGTATATAGGATGGTGTGTTTCTGTATCTGAGTAAAAATAAATGAAGAAAGTTACGTATATCAACCCAAAAATACTAGTTGAAAAACAACCATAACACCTTACTGCTTGACCCTGCAGCCTGGTGGTTTAAGTTACGTGTATAACCTGGCTACTACAGTGCCGCCAGCGATGTTAACAGATATAACTGAAAAGCAAGTTATCTGTAAATCTTCTTGTGCATCAGGTTTTTGTAGATTTAAAAATTAATGTTGCAGGTATTGTATTAATAGATTGTAATGCTTGTAAGAGCTCAGAAATAGTTACTGCTTAGCTACCTCTGAATAGTTGGGTGTCTGCCGTACGGACGTTAATCATCTCGGGTTATCATCATTAGTACAGTAGTTGTAAATCGAACTTTAATATTTACAATAATTATTTTTTTAACTAATGAAAAATATTAATGTGTTTAAGTAAGCAATGACGTATTTTTAATTCTGGAATTGGGTTAGGTATAATTTGGTCTACTGGAGACAGCAACTGGGGATTCATTAGCTTGTGGGAGACTGCATTCTTACATATAGGATGCAGGCTGATTTTTTTTGCCATTTTTCAGAGAAAAGCGTGTTTTTTATGTGCCGTATGTGCTTAAATGGATTTTTTATACTTTTTCCCATAGTAATTACAAGAAAGTTAATTGACATTTATGCTCATAGGGTATTGTATTATTTAGCACCCAAAATAAAACATAAAACCTTAAAAATTTCTGTTGAACAGTCATTTGTTATAGATGAATAAAGTAAAACTTGGTTAAATTGCTAACTTCTATAAAACCTTCTTTTAGAGTAACAAATGCCTTTCATATTGTTCTGAAATTAAAACAACTTTTAAATGAGGAAATAAGCTATATGCAGAATATTCTGCACTTATAAGTACAGTTGTACCCCACTTAACGCGGTCAATTGAACCCAGAGGGTCCCGCCTTAAGTGAAATCCGCGTTAAGTGAACAACAGAACATATGGGATTAATTCCAATAGAAACCGGCCTGACCCCCAAACTCCACTTTTTGAAGGCACATACCTATGTTGTAGTAAAAATAACATCTTAATTTTATGATGGTACATGCACACAATTAATACTTAAGAGAAATAGAGAAATACAGTCGCCAAGTTAATGTCCATTCAAATAATGGACTCAACTCCCTCCCCCTCTCACACTACACAGCCGGCTAACAGATGGTCGGTCGGTCCCTCCCTCCCCCCCCCACCCCCCACCAACCGTCCCAAGGAGATGTGTGGGATAACCTCAAACTAAAGTTAGGAAAATATAATTGACATTGCTGGATTCCTTGTAAGACCAGGAATATTTTGAATATAAATGTCATATATTTTGGACAAAAGATAACATAGTTACCTAGAGAAAAATTTTTATCTAAAAATTGTAAGTTTAAAGCAAAATATATGATGTTTATATTCAAAATGATCACCAAATTATAAGAATTCCAGCAATGTAAATTATATTCTGACCGGGTAATTTGTATGAATTTTATGAGCTAAAACAAATATCTTCAGTTAATAAAAAAAAATAATAATTCTTCACAGGGTAACAGATGGTCGGTTGGTCCCTCCCTCCCCCCCACCCCCCACCAACCGTCCCAAGGAGATGTGTGGGATAACCACTAAATTTTAATAAATAATACCTCAAACTAAAGTTAGGATAATATAATTGACATTGCTGGATTCCTTGTAAGACCAGGAATATTTTGAATATAAATGTCATATATTTTGGACAAAAGATACCATAGTTACCTAGAGAAAAATTTTTATCTAAAAATTGTAAGTTTAAAGCAAAATATATGATGTTTATATTCAAAATGATCACCAAATTATAAGAATTCCAGCAATGTAAATTATATTCTGGCCTGGTAATTTGTATGAATTTTATGAGCTAAAACAGGCAGTCAGGCAGGGTGGCGGGTGGGGCAAATCTAAAAATAGCGTCTCGGACACTCACCGCGTATATGTGGAAAAAACCCGCGTTAAGTGAAAGTTCAGCTTTGGCAAGGCACCGCGTATATGCGAAAACGCGTTAAGTGAAAGCGCGTTAAGCGGGGTAAAACTGTAATGTACAGTACAGTAAGTGTTATTGGCTCGTGTTGCTTTATCATCTCGGACAAGCTGTCCTTTTATTTTTCCCGGGTGCTTCTTCGTCTCTCACGCGTGGGATTGGGATATAGCTCTCACTTTTGTTATCCATCTTTAAGCATTTTACCTGCACAAATATGACGGAATGCCAGAAAAGGCTTGGTACAGTAGAAGTCCAAAAATCCGGACTGCTTGGGGATTGGGTCGGTCCGGATTTTCGGATTTTCCGGGTTCTCAGGCAGTACTTTTAAAATTCAAATTTAAGGAAGAGATGAACAGGTACATTTTGATAGTTTATTCATTAGCAAATATAGCATGCTTCATATATCAAAATGAGCAGTTTTAATGAAAAAGCTGTGAATTCTAGAATTTTATTCTTTGCCTTTAATATATCATAAATTGTAGACTTTCCAATGTCGTATGTTTCCATTAGAACAGTATTGCTCACACCAAGTTCTAGTTTCTTGATTATTTCAAGTTTGTCACTCAATTTCAACGTGTTCTTCTTTCTCTTCACACAACGAAGTTTATCTACTTTAGGAGCCATTATTATGGGCTTGTGCAGTATTCTGTAAATGGAAAGAGTAGGACTCAAAATATTGTTATATTACAATGGTATTCTATTCATACTGTGCTTGATATAATACATTCACGGAAATGTAATATTTTTCCTGAAATTACGTACGTATTACAATGGAAAGTGAGATAAAATCGTGACGAAAACAATGACTTTCGCTTTCTTTCGTTCAAAGATGTTACATAATCGCTTTTTGAATGGTTTAGTTAAAAAACTGTTGTATTTCAATAATATTCCCTCCTAATTGACTTGAATGGAAATATACAATATTTTTGTTGAAACTACCCGCGTTTCAGTGTAAAGTGTCGTAATAATAAATGGTAAACAATTTGCCTTTGGCACTCGTGTTTCATGCACGGCTAGCCTCAGTTTATAGGATGTAGAGCGTTTTTACTGAAGGTTTTGTTGTTCCATTACCCTCAAAAACGTGGGTCGAACTATAAACGAGGAATATCATAAATTTACGATTTCTTGGTCAAAAAAATCAGGGTCGACAGATAAACGAGGGGGGGGTTATAGACGAGTATATACGGTATGTTGTCACAGTTTGATTGCTCGTTTTAAAGTGGCGACCACGTGGTCGCTGTGCAGCTGTGGTGCTCACGCATGCTCACATACACACAAAAGCCCGCTAAAAAAAATAGTTTTTGAAAAGTCCGGATTCTCGGGTGGTCCGGATTTCTGGCATCCGGGTTTTTGGACTTTCACTACAAAGAAATTTGGCTCAGGAGTTCATTAATATACCATCTTATTGCAACGGCATCCAGCCCACAGGTCAATGACTCCATGTTGCCAGATACAGCTGCTTGAACAAATAATACGGTGCCTTATGAGTGATTATGGATTATAAATAGTGGAGCCTTTATTTATGATTGGGGTAACCTGATAACTCAACTTGGTGTACACACTGAATTGTTACAAAGTTTTAGAGTCCGTGTGGACACTAAAGATTACCCAATCTTTATTTGCAACTTTTACAAATTGGGGATATGAGTAAATACTCTTACAGTGGGTATTTCTTCTTGATATCATCACACGTTTCTGTTGTTTTCTATGAATGTCTTTCACCATTCCCAATACTGTATTGATTTTGAATTTTAAATTTTTTGCATTTCTAATGTAAAGAGGGGATTAATTTGTTTTATTTTATTTTTTTTATTTTTTTTTATTTTTTAAGTGCACCCCACCTTAAATTTGCAGCAGTTATGAGTGAATAATGTGAATATAAAAAGAAAGAGAGACTGATAAATATAGTGATACCTCAGTTTACATTGCTCCTTTAATGTCATTTCACAATTATGGGACCCATTATTTTTAAAGAATTTCTGGTTTTCTGGGTCATAGGCTTACCAGTAGGCTACATCAAGTTTCTCTCTCTCTCTCTCTCTCTCTCTCTGTTGACTGTTTAATTTAAGTAAAATAAAGAAAATATCATTGTATACATATAAGAAATTACATTAACTAAAGTACAGCCACTCCCCAACTTACGACGGGTTAGGGACCCAAATCCAGGTTGTAAGTCGAAAATGCGAAGATAATACATAGAAAATCTAAAATGGGTGTCTCTTTTTCTTCTCAAAACTGACACTTTTAAGCATACCAGCCATTTTAAAGGGAATTACAAACAAAAATTTTGTCAATACACAGCGCAATCACTAACGTCGAGACTCAAAAACACGTAATTTAAAAAAAATGGTATGACTGGGGTGGTCGTATGTCGAGTAGGTCGTAAGTCGAGGAGTGGCTGTTTAAATACAGTGGTCCCTTGGTTAACGAGCACAGTTTGATTCAGAAGGTTGCTCGTTAACCGAAACCATTGTTTCAATGGGCTTTTGGGTAATTGGTTCCAGCTCTCCGAAAATTACATACAAACGAAAGATAAATGCAATAAAGTACACTTACTTTGAGGTGTGCATGTAGAAGGCTCCTGGTTGATGATGATGGGAATTAGAATAGGGGTGGAGGAGAAGGGAGAAGAGAAGGCATTGGGGTGGAAGAGAAGTCACCCCATGCTGCCATTTCACCCATAAAATTTTAGTTCATTTGGTGTAATTCAAGATTATTTTCTTTAAATCAACACTGCACTGCACTATATATTATCAGTATGTAAAATATATTTCAAAATGACCAATAATTTGACTGGAAACACAGAAAAAAAGCGTTTATGTTGAAGAGTCTCAAACAAGATGTTCCTTCCTCTGTAAACAAACTGACGCCAAGCTTGGTGTGTTGAGTGGCTGTTTGGCGAGCATAAAACTAGTTTCCTGTACAGTACTTCAATTATGTTCATTAATTGTTAAAATGACTAAAAAATTTAATATAAAACTTTTAAAATGATTGAATAGTATAACCTTCTTGATATTTACTAAAATGGTAAGGAATTTAAGCCTTAGAACCGATTACTGTATTGGCGGACTAATACGACAGCTAGTGAGCAAGCGAAAACATGTTGAGGGGCGCTCGTAAGGAATTCGTTAATCGAGGGATTGCTCGTTAACCGAAGTGAATAATCTTATGAAAGGTAATTCGTTAACTGAGGGATCACTGTAATTATTGTCTGATTCAGTAATTAATCTAATACTTTGTCCCTATTTGTATTAATGAAATAATAATATTGTTTTTACGTGACTTTTGGAATTAATATTGGTCAAATTAAACCAATGATTCAAGGTAACTTGTGCCTGATGCTATTTCTTGCACTTTTTCATATATACGAGTACAGTATTTTCTCTTTAAGGAACTAATTCGAGCCACCCCTATTCGTTAAATCATAATTTTTGCGAAATCCAGCTCTTGGTCAACTAAGTACCTACATACACTGGAGCACCTTAGCTTTCTTCGTTATTCAAGACATCTTCAGAGGCAACTGAATTTACAGAGATGGAATGTCAGGTCACCCTTTCTTGGGTGGGGGATTAGTAGGTCTCATGACCTGAAAATGTCTTGAATAAAGACGAAAGTTAAAGTATTTTTTAGGGAGATTGTGTTAAGTATATGTATAAATGAGCAAAGTTGTATCCCTTCAACATTACGTTACATAACATTTAAAAATATGTAGTGAGAAAGCAGAAAGGTGTGGGTGATTAGAGAGATGGAAAGGAGTGTTGCCAAGTGCTCCTCAACAGCTGATGTTTATTTCGCCTCCAGGCAGTCACACAACAAGACCCTCACTGGATGCATGTTGTCTTAACTCCTGTATGTATGTATATATATATATTGGTACTTACTTGATAAATTTTTATTTATTTCAGCAACGGCTGTGGGTAAATCCATCTCGCTCTGTGGTGTCTGGAGCTCTAGGGCGTTATATCAAACTAAACCTTCGTGCAGATAATACAAGTGCAGTTACAGTCTTCCTAGATCCCCCCGGACGACCAAAAAGAGAGGTAAGAAGCCTTTGTAGGTGGTATATCAAAGTGTTGGAATTTGGGTGGGAGTGGTCACAGAAACAGAAATTGCAGGGTCGATAAAGGAATGAGTTAAAACAGGTGTTGTAACTGGTAAGAACTACAGCAGTTAAAACAGGTGTTGTAACTGGTAATAACTATAGCAGTTAAAACAGGTGTTGTAACTGGTAAGAACTACAGCAGTTAAAACAGGTGTTGTAACTGGTAAGAACTACAGCAGTTAAAACAGGTGTTGTAACTGGTAATAACTACAGCAGTTAAAACAGGTTTTGTAACTGGTAAGAACAAAGCAGTTAAAACAGGTTTTGTAACTGGTAAGAACTACAGCAGTTAAAACAGGTGTTGTAACTGGTAAGAACTACAGCAGTTAAAACAGGTGTTGTAACTGGTAAGAACTACAGCAGTTAAAACAGGTGTTGTAACCGGTAAGAACTGTTTGCTTGCTTCATCTAAAGTTGTGGGATTACACTGGGTTTTCTTATGGTTGTTCAGACAGTCTATATACACCCTTGTTCATATTGTACGGCAAGGGTTATGTAGTTTCCAAACACTCTAACCAGGTTGTGACACTGTTGTTTAAAAGATAAACATTACTGTGACCAGGTCTGATTTTACCAGTTAGTAATCCAGCACAATTAAACATAAGTATTTCTGGACCATCAAGGGATCTGTTTTGTGCTTTTAAAGGATTATGACTGATATGTACTCAGATTGTATTGAGGAAGTACTGTTTCAGAAAAGAATACTGTACCCTGTACTGTATTTATCACCCTAGGATTAAACAGGATTAATCATGCTCTCATACTGGGAAGTAATTGTGTGCAGTACCTTTTTTTTTATGTGAAAATCCTTTTGATAAACTGATAACTGGCTGGTTTGTTTTCTCATTGTGCAGCAGTTGGTTTTTTAACAGTATCACCAAATATGCAATACAATTTGTGTGTGATCCTAGAAAGTAGGTCATCCACACTTAAGAGCAACATTAGGGTGCTATAAGAGATAATGCCACCCAGGAGATATGTATTGCAAGGTAGATATAATTATTTTTATAGAAAATGCTCTTATTAGGTAATTTAGATATTCAGATTTACACAAACATCATGAATTCAAGTGTCAGGTATTAAGAATTTTGACATTGATTATTTTTTTTTTTTTTTTTTATTATTTTTTTTTAAATACTGTTAGTGGGACACTAACTATCATGCAGTCTTTTATACCTGTACTTCATGATGAGCTGACAGCTTTCCTTAGAGTTGTAGAACTATTCACCTTGTTGATGTGAGGTTTTGTGTATTTTAGGGACTTGTATTAATTTCTGTAAATCATGATATTTATTTTATTTAAAGTAAATACAAGGGATGTGCACTGTTCTGCACCCAGTTTAGTTTGGACCATAAAGACCAGTCAGTGAAAGGTGACTGGAAACACTTGGTACACTTCAAAATTCCTGTTAATACAGGGGGTCCCCGGGTTACGAATGAGTTTTGTTCCTGAGGACGATCTTAAGTCAGAACACGTACCCTATGTACACTATATCATAGCCTAAGTTCTTTTATACATCTAGAATCACTTAATTTTAGAGAAAAGGAGAAATGGAATGGCAAAATTCAGTAAAGGAAATTAAATTTAAATTTTAACACCTACATTGACATCTCGGGCTGGCTTGCATATAGAGATGAGTATTTGTAGGACTGACAGAGGCTCTATTGAGATGAAACTTAATGTTTGGATGAACATCATCTAAAAATGCAGCTTGGCCAGGTGCATTGTCAATTACCAATAAAATTATGTCTCTAGAAATTGTTCTGATCGTTGACCAACTGAAGCCCAATGCTTTACCAATGACTCAGAGTGTTTCGCCTTTTTCAGAATGTTTAATTACATCAACTGTAACTTCCATTGTAATTGTTTTCCTTTTCTTAGATGCACTACTATCACTTGCATCAGGTTTGTTTGGGAGCCACGATGAGGGCCGAAAAATATTTAAAAGGCCAAAAAAACAGATTTTTTTCTCTTCTATTTTTACTCTTTATTTGTTCCCCCCCTTCAGGCCTCGTTGTGGGTCGATGACCTGTGTCCGGGTGGGCTATTCCCCATAAAAAAAATAGGGCTTCACTTTATTACACATGTTATCGAGGTGAGGGTAAGGCTTATTGACTCTCTCTTAAGGCACGTGGCTGGGTGACACTTTACTCACCACCCGTTGCTCTGCCTCGCCGCTCTGCCACGCAAACTAGTTCTTGTACATTAATACTACGAACCAGTTGTACTTATGTTGGAATCTTCAAATAATTGGCCTTATGGGACCGCATTCGTATTGGCAGGTGTTTGTAAGTTAGATGTTCATAATTCTGGATCCCCTGTACAATTGAAAGAGGTTCTCTTGAGGCAGTCTGTGACTTAAACTTTGTAAGGCCAAAACAAAATAATCACGTGTTTTCAGTAACCCGGCTTTACCTAGAGAATTGTGGCCGACCCTAATAATTTGATTGGATATTTCGAACACGTTTTTATCATTCCTTGAAGACCTTTTGTTTTCAATGCTCCATCCTCATATCATGTAACGTAAAGAAAACCTTCTGTTGGTATATGAAACGGGGGGAAAAATACAGGGTTTGGGGAAGTGACTGAGATACATGACCACAATTCTGTAATATACAACTTAGTGTTATAGATGTGTATGCTACACAGGTACAGTACTTGATTTTTTCTCTTCCTTTATTTGATGATTCTGACTAATGTGTGACAGTGCCAAAAGACATTCTATTTAAAAAAGAAAAAATCCATAACTAGTCACAGTCAATACCTTTTTTGATATGAGAATACAAATGTTTAGGGGTAACTAATCATCATCACCATCATTGTATTGTGGCTATTCTTCATGCTTGCCTGGGTTAGCCATGATTACCTGATGGCAGCTCTCCATGCTGCATGGTCTCTTGCAGTCTCTTATCAGATTTTTTAATCTAATATCATGTCTTATAACCTCTCCTCATGTCATTCTTGCCCTACCCCTGGCTCTCCTTCCCCCCCACATGCTCATGCATCACTTGATCCAATTGGTTTTGTCCATTCTCACCGTGTGCCCAAACCATCTCAGCCTGCCTCTACACACAACTTTGCCAATACTCAGTTGCCTACTTAGCTCTGAACAGGGCTTCATGTCTTTCAGTGTCACATTACATATCCACCTTGCCATTCTCATTTCAGCTCACTTTAAGTGTACTTATGTCATCCTCTTTAACTATCCATGTTTCACTGTCATAGAACATCACACGTCTCACACCAGCCGCATACATTCTTTCACTCGGACGAAAGGTCCTCTGTCATCAATAAAGGCACCCGCTCCCTTAACTTCTTCCAGCCACATCTGACTCTTGCAACTGAGCAGGCTTCAGCATCCCCACCAGCACTGATCATGTCACCCAGGTAACAGAACTCAGTGATGCATTCCAGGGATGTATCACCAATATTTGTTTTTTCCAGCCTTGCTGTGGATACATGGTTATATGCACATTCACACTTTTAAAGTTACCAACATCCTGCAGTCAGCAATCTACTCCACTGCACATCATTGAGCTGCTGCCAACACCTTTGACTGTATTTCACCCTTCCATTTCTTAAATTTCTCCACTGCCTTTTCAATATTATCTGTTAACAGAACTAAGTCATCAGTATGCAACAGGTCTCTTGGCAGGCCAGTCCTAAAGTCCTGGGAGCTCAAAATCCTCACTTTCTTCACCATTTACTTTCAGGTTTTTTATCCCACATATAATCCCATAATCATTTAACCAAAGTACTGTCCTGTACTCCTCAACTCCTAGCCTTCTTATCACCCACTTTATTTTGTCACTTGGTACCCTGTCAACTTGTCAGGTGCCATCTCTTAGTTTACAAAATGAAGTTTAATTTTCTCCTTCCCTAGATATTTCTTTTGTATTGCTGTGGCCAGGAATATTGCCTCTGTAGTCCCTTACCTGGCATAAATCCAAACTGCATTTCATGTATTGTATGTGTTCTCTTCCTTATCAATTTCTTAATCTCTGATAATATTTTGAAATGTGTGACCACTGTTAATCTCGGATTTACCTCTTGAGTTACCTGTGGGGATAGTACAAGAAGGTTTTTCACAGAACTTGGTGGCAAATGGTGCTTATGACACCATTAAGACACTATTTAAAACTAACCTCTCAAACTAAACTAATTACAGGCTGTTTTCAAGAATTTGCCATTTATTACTCTTCAATGTGTCAAGTGGAAGTAATGTTTTACTAATACTACACAGAGTTTATAATAACTTGATTTTTAGTTTAATTGTTTGGTTGATAGAATCTTATGAGTAAATTTATTACAGTATGTTTTGGGGTATTTTTTATTTATTTTCCTAACACATCTCTAGTTATATAATATTAGGTCATTGGGAAATTAGGTTTTGAGTTATAGACAACTTTTCAGGAGCAGAACTCTCTCACCTTACCTTGTGGTGATCGGTCAACTCTAAAGGGGAATGTATGTCTGTCTGATCCTGGAGCTTATGTGGAACTATCCTCACTTTTTTTTAAGCTGAATTTGATTGAGAGTTCTAGCTGTAGGTGATAATACAGTACTGAATGGATAATACTTATTGGGTTAAGAGATACATGAATTTGAATGTGGAGAGAAGGAGAGCTACAGTATAGGTAAGCCAAGAATTACATGGGGAGAGAGGTAAGAAATTACCTCGCAGATAACTTGATGAGAGAGACTGCAAAAGAACCATGCGTCATGGAGAGCTGCCATTGGGTGATTTAGCAAATGCGCCCAAACTTGGAAAATGGCCAGAAAACAGTGATGGTGATGTTAACAATGGCAGCAGCTCAGACACCCACCCTTTCCTTGGGTTACTGACTTAACTGGGATTGAATTCAAAATGGTGGAATAACCAAAAACCAAGATAGTATCTGGTACTGAATGGACAGACTTGGTACTGGAGAACAGCTATAGTTTCAAGTTATTTGCTTTTGAAGGAATGGTGTGAGGGGGAGGGAAAGTGATTACTATATTTAACCATATACAGTACATGAATTGTAAATTCAAGTAATCACAGCTAACTTACACAAGCTTGGAAAACAGTCATAAGACATTGATGATGATGATAGAGATTAGCAAGCCACTTGGGTTAAATTATGATGGGTTGTCTAGTGAAAAGGAACTCAAAATATAGCCCTGCATTATGTGAACTGTCCTGCTATAGTATTTGGTTTATCTCTTATTTATTTTTCAGGTGTTGCTACAACAGAAGGGAATGAAGAAAGGGTCTCCTCCTAAACCCACCACCAGACTGCCATCAACTGAGGAAGATAGAAACAGAGATGCTCTAGTTCAGGTTCACATGTACAACCAGAGCCAAGCAACAAGGCATGAAGGCAGCCGGGGTGTACTACGCATTAAGGAACGCCTTCCAGAAAAATGGCAGACCAGTCAACAAGACAACCAACATGGTGTGCAGGAGGGTAACCGAGGGTGTACGGATACTTTTCAGGATTCGGGTTGTGGAAGTTGTGATAATAGTGAACCTGGGAGTAATCAAACTGTGATCAGTGCAGAAACAACTAAAGTGGGTTGTTCTGAATGTGGATGTGCTGGTGTACATGCAGTTCCTAGTACTTCAGGTGACAATTCATCGGGTCATAGTTCACATAATCCAACCACTAAGGTACTACCACCAACTACTCAGAATTTACCTGCATCAGCACCATTTGATATTGATAGTATATCTGATATTGTGTCAGAAAATAGACCTGAAAGTAGAAATAAAAACGGTCCTGAAAATAGAGACGAAAACAGACCAGACAGTCGATTAGAGAACAGACCAGACAGTCGATTAGAGAACAGACCAGACAGTAGATCAGAGAACAGACCAGACAGTCGATTAGAGAACAAGGTAGAGGACGTTTCAGAAAGCAGGCCAGAAATCTTAACAGAAAACAGACCAGACAACAGGACAGACGGCAAACCTTTGAGAGATGATATACAAATTCCAGTTGTGTCAAGCAGTACTAAAAGTCCAGGAACAGATAATAAAGGGAGAAAACACAGAGGAATAAATGGCAGAATGAAAAGTTCAACAGGAACTGTTTCTACAGAAAAGGGTGATAGCCGAAGGAGAACAAGATCAAATATTCATTTGAATCTTGGAATGGAGAGTGAGAATAAAGAGCAAAATCCTGTTGCTTCAAATAACAATAATGAATGGAAAGAAGAACAGCGTAAAGAGGAGAAGGCTGGATCGAGTACCAAAGGTAGACAAGCACTAAGTAGTTCAACAATGGACTCATCCAATCGTGTATTGAAGTCAGTAAATCGTGGTACTACAGAAACTATAAATCAAAATTCTCCAAAAACAATATCACCTAAACGAAAACGAACTTCAGATATTGAAACTGAATCTACAGAAGAACCTATACCAAAATCTGCTCGAGTTCATACACGCTCACACACGTGGAGTCACAAACCTATGATAACTAGAAGTCAAGAAAAGACCCACAAAACTCCTACAAAACTATTTACTACCCCAAAGAAGTGAGAGGAGTATGAGTGAAATTGTTTTACTATTGACATGGAAAAATTTTAAGTCCAAAAAATTGCTAGGCAAAATTCCATGATATATTTTAACTCACATTATGAAATTTTGACTGATCTCATGGATTAGATAATGTGACTGTGCCCAACTCTTTGAGGTGCTAGAACTGTTGCCTGTTATAAGCTAATTGTTGACTAGGCATTCTTCTTAGTGCTGTGTCTGTAAATATAGTTTTCCTTTTATATTGGATATAGAATTAAGGTCGTGGCCCTGTAATGTGTCGAGGGAATGAGTTCTCATTTTTACAGCACATGTGAATAAAGATAGAGGTTTCTATGCAGAAATTAAGTTGAACTGTGTTAACACTTGTTTATAAAAAAAAAGAACGTTGATTAGGCAGGTGTCAGTTTCACATGTGTGCAGGGGGGAAAATGGAGTGCCTTTCAATGCAGTAAAGACACTGGAAAGTTCAGTGATTTGTATGTTTGTTGGCTAAAAGTACAATTTCTGGTTTTAAGTGTTTGTTTTCCATATGGAAGAGGGAAAGACAAAGTGTTATATCAGGATGCTTTGAATATAGCTAACTGCTGAAGCTATTATTCTTTTATCTTGATAACATTCTGTTTATATTTTTCTTGGTACAGTATCGATAATGCTGTAGCTAATATTTTTATATAATTCATGGAAAATTCCCAAATTAGGTATGGATCAAAAGTTTGTTTACAGTATATGGTGGCTGCAGCTAAAGAAAAGACAGTTTTTTATATTACCTTATTATGCATGCACTTTTAAAGCAGTTACCAAATTTGACAATGTGATGTCAAGCTTTTGAGAGTATTTATCAAAATGGGAAATTTTTAAGTATCAAAAAGTTATATTACAGACCTACCTTGATTGAATATTTTATGCAACTGAAAATGTTCAAATTTTCTGCTGTATTTATTTAAGGATTTTTTTATTTTTTTTATTTGTAATATTTTAGGGGCACCACCTTAATAATTTGTTTGAAACCAATTTTTTTTTTAATATCTAGGAGTTTGTTTTTTATTGTTTATAAATCTGCAATCTCCTGATTTGTACAAGTTTTCCCCTCACCACTACCTACTGTACTGTATGTGCTTTTTGTGTCTTCCTCCTAAAGTCAATTATAATTCAGTGATAATTCATTCTGTTTGCTAAAGGGGAATGAGAAAAATCTTTATGCATTGCAAGGTTCATGATCTCAAAAACTTTATTAAAATATCCTTTATATTAAATAAGTGGCAGAAAAGAGTATTAAGGTGGTACACCTAGAAGATGATTTTACATTTATTATTTTATAGATTTTATGGGGTAAAATTAATGTTCTACATTGTCTTTGTTTCATGACTCGTATGGTAATACTGTACAGTATACTGTAAATCCATCAAGTAGAGGTAAAGTATTCTGTAGAAGACTAAATATCTTTGGCCATCATAGAAAGGTTCAGTGGTTTATGGTGGGAGGAAATATCTAGTTTTCACTTGGTACTTGCCTCATAATGTGGAATTTTCTGTCATGTAAATTTTAAACAGTAGTTTTGTTCATGATTCACCACTATATTCTGAACCTGTGTAAAGGTGGTAACAAAACTATAGGACCAAGTTTTAGTGTACATAAGCTATGTTTATAGCATTTTTGCATAATTTATGACAATTTAAGAATTTAGGCATGAAGTTTTAGCAGTATTATTTATCTGCTTGTACCTGGATTTAAGGTAAATGGCATGCAATCTATTGTAGACACACAAGATCACAGCTGCAACTTTTATGAGTACAGTATATGTATATATGTGTGTACAGTATATACTATACTGTATATTTATATACTGTAGGTATATATATTTATAGCATATGTATATTGATGTACTGTATATGTATGTATATTTATGTACTGTGTATGTATGTATATTGATGTACTGTGTATGTATGTATATTTATGTACTGTATATGTATGTATATTTATGTACTGTATATGTATGTATATTTATGTACTGTATATGTATGTATATTTATGTACTGTATATGTATGTATATTTATGTACTGTATATGTATGTATATTTATGTACTGTATATGTATGTATATTTATGTACTGTATATGTATGTATATTTATGTACTGTATATGTATGTATATTTATATACTATATACTGTACAGTATATATATATATATATATATATATATATATATATATATATATATATATATATATATATATATATATATATATATATATATTATGACTCATTTCTGTACATTATAATGAATAGTTATATGTTTATTACATAAGTTTTTTAATTATAGGCATGTCACTCAAAAAAATTACATTAAACGTACATCCTGTCATTTATTAAATGTCAGTGTTGTGTTGAACCTGTATCTATAATATGATTTGTTACAGTACCTGAATGCAGGATGTAAATTTAAAAGTCTTACAAATTTGTGTGAATAATTTTATGCCTTCTCATTTGTTCACCCTTGTAATCCATTAATTGAATTATTATGTTTTAGTTCAGAGTGTTGATCAGAGGGGGGAAGCATCTAGGTAGAGTACAATACATATTACCTTGGATGTGCTAAAGATAATTATTGTGATAAATTGTGATCTATTGGTATATCAACATTTGGAAAAAAAGTTGTTCCTTAAGTTGTCAAAAACTTATGGTTAAATATGTAATCTGATAGTGTAGCATATTTTAAAGTCGCAAAAATGTAAGAATGTACATACCTGTAACTCAGAGTCGTGGGATGTAAATATAATATGTATATGAATTGCTTTCTTATTTACTTTTTTAGTAGTTATTCATAAATGTACGGTATTGAGTTCTACACCCCTTCCAGAATACAGCACGTACTTCCACTGAAGACTCCATGTATTGTACTGTAGTTGCCTTTTTAAGGTTGATTTCTGCATTATGCACACCTTAAAGTTCCTTGTCTAAAGCACTGAAGTCAAAATTCTTTGTTATGTTCTCGGCAATGAACCTTATTTAAATTTTTTTTTTCAAGAATACCTGTGTTATGTTATATCAACTAAATCCCAGCAAATTGGGGTAAACAAATATGCTTGTCAAGACAACTTAGGAAAGATTAGTACTGTTCTGTTAAAAAAATAAAACAGTAATTACAGTCAGGTGTACTGTACTGTATATAAAAACATACTCAGTCATACTTAATTCTTCCATAGGTGTTTACCATTTTTCAGAGTTAAAGTAATGTTGCTTATAAATGATATACAATAGTACTGTACTGTACTGTACTCATTTTGTTGGAACTTGGGAAGTTTTGTTCCAAGTTCTTATGGATGTGAGGCTGTTTTTTTTTATGGTGCTGATAGCTCAGAAAAGAGAACATTAGAATATTTGTTATAAATAAAAGTAAATCATTTAAGCATTTTCTATAATTTTTAGGGAGAAAATCTTCAGGTGAAAGGGTTTGCATAGTATTGGGCATTGCTGTGATCAGTGGCTTGCACACTCCACAGCAGTCATGTCAGTCATTTGATTTAAACCAATGTCTTGTGAGTTGGGTGTCTGCAGTGCTGCCAACTGAACTGTAGGAACCTGATGAGTGACTGCAGCATGGAGAGCTGTCATCAAGTAACCACAGCTGATCCACACAAGTGTGGAGGATGGTCATAAAGTGATGATGAATGAAATATATACCTGTACTGTAGTTGGTAATTGATAGGATCAAGAAAGATGAGAATTACATAAAGAAGGAAGCAAATATATATATATATATATATATATATATATATATATATATATATATATATATATATATATATATATATATATATATATATATATATATATATATATATATATATATATATATATATATATAAGATTATAATGTGAGTTTATGGAGATGAAGAAACTGGATTATCATCACATTATGGCCATTAATTCATTTACATGAGATAGCTGTGATAAACTGATAGCAGCTCTCCAAGCTGCATGGATTTTTGTTGCCTCGATTACACTTGTTCAGGTAATTGATTACATTATTTTATTTTGCATTGTAATCTTAATTGATTATACCTAAACTGTAGTCATGATCATGATTATTTCATGCTTCTGTCTGTCTATTTCCATTATACAAGGTTCGGTAGAGAAACCTGATGGTTTTGAAATACAAAAAATAAATAATAATAGAATGACTTAACCTGAATTTATAAACCAAACTGCAGTACATCTCGAAGCTTTTTTACACAAGATTCACTTTTTAAAAATTACATCAGTGAGATGGTGTCCATTACACATTATTGGCGTACTCGTTCAATGTTCTCTGGAGTTCTCACGGTAAATGTTTTCCCGGAGGTTTCGTCTTTAAAAAAAGCAGTTGTAGTGTCTCAAAAGTTTTTAACCTACAACTTAATTGTGTTGTGCCTAAGAACACTGTCATTCTGATGAATGTTAAACTGGAAGTTAATTAAATGCTGAGTTGCCACCACAAAATTATTGTTTTTTAAAAAATGTGTGTTCTACAAATGGATGATGAACCAGCACTCCATGGTGACATTGCTTTCAGTTAAACTGCATGTGTGTTCAAGGTCACTTCCCCTATTCCAATGGTTTTGAGCAGAGCCTTGTTTAAAATCTATTAAGTTTCTCTGCCGTACCCTGTATTTAATGTGAAAGTATCACACATTCTTGGTTACTGGTATAATCCCTACAGGGTAGATGAGCCACATTTCATCGGTGTATCGTCAGTCAGGTGCTGGTAATCTACCTCAGGCACTATGTTTAGCCTCTTAGTCACTGCCAAAGTGAATGGCTCTACATGTGAATTGACAATATTCATGAACTTATGGTGGGTTAGTTTGGGAGGATGGCAAGAAAATGAGATGCAGTGAGCATGCATGTTATATCAAGTAGGAATCTGATGGTGAGGTCACTGAGGAAGGACTGGTTATCAATTACCATTGGCAACTTCTTACTGATTGCATCTTCCACACACACGCACAGTATACTGTACAGTATAGTAACCTCTGCAAGAGCCATAAATTTTTATCCCCAAAAAATAAAATTCAAGAAATCCCAAGAAAAATTATTCCATTCTGTGTAAATAAATTTATGAGGATCTCATCATGTTTACGACTCGGGGGAAATATGCCGGGCATGTGAGTGAGTAGGTACGCTCATGAGCTACGATTGGCCACTACTGTCATATGACTGCATTATATGCCTATTATTGGCTGATGTATCTCACAGCCTATCTCCTCAAACTCTTGCATCATGACATTTAGTTCATTGTTTGCTACCATTGTACAAGATTGTTCGCCTGCTCACTGCTGTTTTCACATACAATCTGAATTGTGCATTATTGTACCAGGATATAATTAGCCAAGAATACCATTAAAGCAGTGTTAAATCAAAGTTATTAGAGCTACATGTACTGTACATTCAGTAAGTGTGAAAATACCATATGTACAGTCTCGTTCAAGATTCTTCGAACACTGCTGAAGACAGCTGGCAACTCAAGGCTGTTTATTTACTATAACACGTAGTATAATATAATATGAAACAACGAAGCCCAACCATTAAATTAAGCAATGGAGAACTAAGTGACCAATCACCGATCACTTTCACATATATTCATAATTTTTACTGTAGCTATAATTCTGAGCTTGACATAACAATTGTGACTGGCTCTCCGAGTACCAAAGATAATCCAAGATACAGTGTAAGATCTAGTCATAACTATTTTGCCAATACAGCACTCAGTGAAAAAACTATCACACAAGTGGGGTCTGATGATTTTCCAACTGAACATTCCCGTTGTTTCGCGAGGGTTGATAGACTTGAATTCGAGTCATTTTGTACTTAATTTGGTAGGCCAAAATTAGCTATTTCATTGACAATATTGAATTACTTTGTTACAGTATGACTGGAGAATATCAGTTTATCTAGATAAGTTAAACTGTGTTATATTAAATGTTCCACACACCGTGACTACAGTAACTGTGGAAGTGGGTGAGTTGCCATATAGGAATGCATTATATATTTGGCAGAATTAGCGGATATAGTAAAGGTACAAGATTATTTTGCAACCAAATTTCGAATCTATTTGTATTGCTGCTTCACTTTGGGCTAATGCCACATTATGCCATTCTTTATTCGTACTGGAAAATATACCATGCTGCTCCTAAACATCTGAATAGCTCCACAGTTCATATAACATACACATTCTTTATGTAAGATATCAGGAAATGTTGGTAGCACTAATTACGTAAATCACAATACAGTATTAGGCTGCTACAACACCGCTCACAATGTGTATTCGACATGGAGAAATGAGGCATAGAGCTCTGATAAAGTTTCAAATTGTGTCAGTGTGGCAGCACTATGACTCGTTTCAGAGTGCCGATCACTTGTTTCCAGCAAGTGCGACCCAACCCATACATGCGCAGGGCTACCAATGTGAGGAATGCCTCAGGGGCCTTTTTGAAACACTTCGTTTGTAGTGTCAGTTTGTTTCGCGCAGGAATTGTAATGGTAGTATTTTTATCGAGTACAGTGGTCCCTCGGTTAACGAATTACCTCCCATAAGGATCTTCAATTCGGTTAACGGACATAACTTAGATTAACAAAATCCTTACGAACAACACGTTTTGTTGTGAGCATCAGCTGATCGGCTAGTCTGCCAATTCAGTAATCTGTTCTATGTTTACATTCGTTTCCAGTGGAGTAAATATCAAGAAAGTTTTGCTCTTTAATATTTTTGCATTTTTCATATTAAAATTGTCATTTTAAAATTTAGTTAACATATTGATAATATATGCAGTATAGGGAACTAGATTTTTGTGCGCCCATCAGCCGCATGACTCAGCCACCAGGCGTCAGTGTGGCTTTGTTGACAGTGGAGTGAACATTATTTTGTTGGTGTCTTGAATATTTTTGCATTTTTACATTGAAATTATTGGTCATTCTGAAATTTAGTTAACATATTGATAATATATAGTGCAGTGTTGAATTAAATAAAATAATCTTGAATTACACCTAGTGAAATTGAAATTTTATTGGTGAAATGATGGCATCAAGCATGGGTACCATGAAAGGTGATTTCTCTTCCATCCCCACTTCCTTCTCTTCTCCCTCCTCCACTACTAATTCCCATCATCATCAACCAGGAACCTTCTACATACACACCTCAAAGTAAGTGTACTTTACTGCATTTTTTTTACTTTGTATGTACTTTTCTGTGAGCTGGAACTAATTACCCAATATACCATTGAAGCAATGGATTTGGTTAACGAACGACTGTGGAACGAATTGTGTTCGTTAACCGAGGGACCACTGTACAGTGAGTTCTGCTATAACGCGTGTTTTGATAACGCGAATTGCTGTAACGCGATTTATGAATTAGGAACGATATTTGTATAACGCGAACGCTTGTTTGCTATAACGCGATTTTTGCTTGCTATTTCTCCAATTTTGTGGTAGTAACTGTGAATATGGTAAAGAAGAATATCTCCAAGAAGCGTTCTGGTGATAGAATTCCCGGTGATGATCGTAAAAGAAAGGATATAACACTTGAAGAGAAGCTCGATGTTATCAACCTCAAAATCACCCTTCTCCCCCATCAAGTTACATTCATATTTTTTCAAGGTAAAGTATTACATTTACTGTATGATTTCATTATTAGATATGAATGTAACATTTAGTTAGACTGTGCTATCCTTTGTGTTAGGCGAACTACTAAATTTTTTCGATTTCGAGTAATCTGCACCTAACCCTATTTTCTCCATAAGCCCTGATATTTCTATTACGCGATTTTCTATAACACGATATTTTACAAGAACACAATTATCGCGTAATAGCAGAACTACCTGTATACATAAAATGTGGATCTTGTGCATTAACACATCAGTGTTAATGCACATCAAGAGATGGTCTGAATGATCACTGAGAAGAGGTAATGAGAGAAAACAATACTGTACTGATGAAGTTTATTTGCACTGTAGGAAATAAATGCAGAAATAACAATTTCATCAGTGCTTGACAATAGGCATGCACAACTAAATATATACTCTACCAGAATATGGGACTTTAATGTAAGTACAGTAATTTTGACTCAGATCAAAGTCTTAATGATCTTTTTGCAAATTTGTTACACAGTAATATAAATAAACATGACATATGAAATTAAAATTACTATTTCACCCAAAGCAGAGTTTCTTCCTTCCACGAAGCCGAACTTCATTCAGACGTTTGACAACATCTCTAGCAGATCCATCTGCATTTTCATATGTGGTCAATATCTTAGCAACAAAACTTTCAGTGTTGGGATGAGTGCTTAATATTGCTCTCTCCAAGACGTACAGGTCTACTGCCTTGTCTTCTGCACGTTCATCAATTGAGCTTAACCCAAAGTCAATGAGAATAATGTCTGATGTTTCATAAGGAGGAACCAATAACATATTTGAAGTTGTTAAATCTCCATGAATAATATTGTTTGAATGCATTTTAACAAGGACTTCCCCAATCCTCTCTGCAATGCTTAACATTACTGAACTTTCCATAGAAAGGTTATTTTTCACAGCTTCATATATATAATTTCTAATAGTTGAACCATTTGTGATTTTCTCAAGAATAATTTCATTTTTGTCAAAATCAACATCATACACAACTGGTGTTTTAATGCCATAGCTGCGACATCTCATCAAGGCACGAGCTTCTGCTTTTATTCGTTCACGGGTTATATAAGCATCTAAGTCCGGATGACGATATTCCTTGTGAAATCGATGTTTGACAATGACTGAGCGTCCAAGCCACTCTGTGGAATATACCCGGCCTTCAGCTCCCTGGGTTATAAGTTCACGACCCATCTGAAATTTAAGATTCAAGTTAAACAAAACTTTCTGAAAGTATAATGTACTGCACTACATAAACTGTATAATAAATCTTTGTCAAGGAAAGATGAAGAAGAGTAATATGGGTGAAAATTCTACAGAAAAAATACACTGGTATGCCTTAAAATTAGAATGGTATAATTATACTGTTAGTTTATGAAATACTTTAGTTAAATTTCTCATTATGCAGAAACTAGCATTATGATACATTTAAACATCACTCTAAAATGTAAAGAAACCATACATGTAAGATGGATCTAAAACCAATAAAATAAAATGACAATGTACGGTAAATGCATATTATACCCATGAACTTTATGCAATAAAATAAGTACTGTAAAGTACAGCATGTATCATGAGTCATCAGAGATGCTTCTCTCTCTGAATGCTCAGACAAGCACATAATCACTGTTCCAATGTTTATGTAATAGCTCCATTTTCTTGTTTACTGTCAGAGTAACTCATCTAAGTTTTACACTACATGATGCTGCACAGTCCAATGATTATTTTATGGAAGACATAATTAACACTGAAGTGCAAACAGTGGCGGACTGGGTCAAAAATTTCTACCGGAAAAACTTGTAAAAGGGCCCATTCAAAAGTTTCAGGTAGCGTTCGGGAGCATTGGTACGGACCTAGTAATGTCACATTCGGGAGCATTGGTACGGACCTAGTAATGTCACATTTGGGAGCATTGGTACGGACCTAGTAATGTCACATTTGGGAGCATTGGTACGGACCTAGTAATGTCACATTCGGGAGCATTGGTACGGACCTAGTAATGTCACATTCGGGAGCATTAGGGCGGATTGAGTTAATATCTCATAAACCTCATCTCTTTTTTTCTTTTTTCCGTTATTTCCAAAGTGATGGACCATCACTTTGGGGCCCACCGGGAAATTTCCCGGTATCCCGGTGGGCCAGTCCGCCACTGAGTGCAAAACACAACAATCAAAGTATGAGAGCAATGCAAGCTGACTGGGAGCAAAGTATGGGGGGGAGAGGGGGTCCAAAGATAACTCATCTTCTCAACAGCACCAAGTGTAGGTAGCAGACCACATATATTCTCAAGAATTTAGTACAGTACAGCATACAGTATTTATATATCATATCATATATACCTGTATGCAGAAGATCAGTATTTTACTGCATGCATCTCACTTATATGTTTATTATTGTCGTATAATCATTTGTATTGTACACCAAAATCTATTATTGAAAATGTTTTGTGAAATTTTAAGATCTTCTGGATAAGTGTTTTTTTTTTTTTTTGGTAAGGATATAGAGTATCTCTGCCTTTATAATGGGAGAGTATGGGAAAATATGATCCAATTTACCTCAAAATTTATTTATGAATGGTTTCTCATGAATGGGACCCTTTTGCAAGCATGGGAATGCCTGTACAATATACAGGGGTACTGTATAAAGTTAGGTTAGGTAAGGGGTCCACAATCTTTATACACTAGTCAGCCACTTAATGGTACAAATAATCAGTGATCGGCCACAGGTGTACTAAGCCAACATAAGTCAGCACTGTATTACACAGAATTAAATGTAAAATAAAAAATGCAGGACAATATTTTATTGACAGAAAATTGTGTGTGGTGATTAATGGTATGAAATCATCATGTGTCCCCTTGCCAAGTGGGGTACTACAGTACAGGGCAGTAAATTGGGTCAGTTGTTTGTTTGCTTCATAAATGATATGCCAGAAGCTATACACTCCTCCATACAAATGTTTGCAGATGATGCCAAGTTATTTAGGGAAATTAAGAACCAAGCAGACTGTGAAGAGTTACAGAAAGATCTCTATGAGCTTCAGGAATGATCAAAGAAATGGCTGCTAAGATTCAATGTCACAAAGTGGAAGAGGATGCACCTGGGTCGCACCAACAGTAACGAGGCGTATCACATGTCCCAACAGGACGAAGAAATTGCATTAATTGAGACCGAATGTGAAAAGGACCTGGGTGTGTATGTCGACAAGGGACTTAAGTTCTCTGGCCATTGTGAGAAGGTGAATCAGGCAACAAAACTAGTAGGTCTTATAAGAAGGTCATTTAGATATCTGGGTGGTCCATCGCTCGTCACAAACTTCAAGAGTGAGGTGCTTCCCCGTCTGGAGTACTGTCACCTCGTCTGGTCCTCGAGGTATGCTACAGACTGTCAGTTGATTGAAAATGACCAAAGGAAGGGCACCAGACTGGTGCATGCTCTATGTAACCTCAGCTACCCTGAGAAATTAGAACGCCTGCAACTGCCTAGCTTATACTACAGACGGGCAAGGGGCAACCTGATGGAAGTGTATAAACATCTCAGGGGGCACTACTCAGTCAAATGTACATAACTGGAGCTGGCAGACACCCGCCCCATATGGGGTCACAGCTCAAGGTTGAAGAAGCCACAAGTCCAGAGAACAGTGAGGGCAAACTTTTTCGGAGTGAGAATTGTGAACTCTTGTAACAATTTGCCAGAGAGTGTTGTGACGGCACCAAGTGTGAGCTCATTCAATGCCAGACTTGACCAACACTGGAGCAGGTTCCGATATATTCAGGAGCCAGTACGGTACTTGCCAACAGTGCATAACAAAGACGCGACCGACCGCCCAAGCAGCTAATCTGCCGATCAGTGGTGTAGTGGATAAAAGTAAGTTTACAGTACTCAGTACATTACGCTACAGTGTGACTGCTTGTGAGCTTAGAATGATACTTGCTCTTCACAAAGGTAAGCATACTGAATGTCTGTTCACTGCAGTAGGTTGATTTCCCTGATTTTTATTTTCACCCCAAACTATAAGGAATAACAACAGTCTTTCCAGCAACGTAGCCCGAAATTTAGATGTCACCCCCTTTCCGGCCGCAAAAAATGGGTTGCAGACCCCTGGGTCAGGTTTTGTTATGTTTTTCTTTTTGAAATAGCTATTTGTCTAGCCATGCATTTTTAATTCCACTATTTGAATGGTATTCATTCTGACTGGTTGAGGCTGATGACGTTATTAAGTGTCATAGATTACTGAATTTAGTCACTTGCAAACATGGCAGATGTGGATGCAGACATTTTAGGTTTGGTGATGATTTTCAATCCTTTGAGGAAGTGAAATGTGTTTTGGAAAAGTTTGAACAATCTCAGTTTATGATTTACTATGAAAGAAATTACAGAACAATGGTTGGAGCCAAGAAGAATAAAAATTGATAACCCAAAACAAGATTTGCAGCACTATAACCTTAAGTACACCTGGGTCAGGGGAAGTTAGGAATCCCAGACAAATAGCAGAAGTAAACTACAGGGAGTGGACAATGAACAACTTTTTTATTTTTTTCACGGGGAATAGCCCACTTGGTCACAGGTCACCAACCCACAATGGGGCCTGAGGGGCAAAAAAATAAGAATAAAAATAAATTAAAAATAGAAGAGAAAAAGATTATATTTATCTATACCACAAAGATGCCAGAAAACCATCTTTTTGAAGTGAGACAGATTGCATGGGTGTGGAAACACAAAAGAAGGCAGAGCATTCCACAGCTTGGCTGTGTGAGGAAAGAAGGATGTACTATACAGTAACAGGTTATTCTAGTGTGACTGACATCCACAGAGGAAAGGTGGGCACCGCGGGCAAGATGCGTGTTACGAGCCCACGGCCTTGCCGGCGGTACACAGGATGCCAAATCCACCGAACACTGCCCATTAAAGTACCTGTAAAGAGAGAGGTTGAAGCAACATTGCGGCGAAGAGAAAGGGAAGAGAGATTATCAACTAAGGAGGAGAGTTAATAAGATGAAATGCTTTTCATTTTTAATAATTTTATATAAAATTTAGGTAAGATATTTAAGGTTAGGTTAGGTCTTTTTTTTTTTTTTTGAGCATTTGCATGAGAAATAGGTATTTGACAACCGTAGAACACCCTTAGCACACAATGGAAGAAATTTCACCATAGAAAATAAAAACTTTCTTACCTGATGAATATGACAATTACAGTATTCATGTCTAGGAGACAAGAATGATAAGCTTCCCTGTGTCCCCCATGTTAGTTTCTTGTTCCAATTTTTGGAAAGGATTTACAGTATGTGTTTATTTTGGATGATCAAGCTAACTTTCACATTAAGTAAGGCTAGGCAGGGTAGGTTAAGTTAGTCTGATTCATTTTATGAATGATAAATTATATCGTGGCATTGTGCTGAGGGTATCAAAGTAAGTTCTATCAGCTTAATATGATGGGGGGTTGGGGGGCTCAATTAGAAAACTGGGTAAGGTTAGGTAGGTTATGTTGGTGTTATCAACTGCATATTACTAATTACATTATCTGAACCATCCAAACCTACCTAACCTTACCTAACTTCCAAACTGGGGACTCTGCCTCCCGGCCTATTAAGAAGATGGAACTTACTTTGATATCTAATCTCACACATGCACAATAACAACCCTGACTGTTGAAACAAACCACATTCCCCATTTAGACCTCCCGCATAATGTGGAACGTGCCAATGTTTGAAGTAAAAAAACCACCCTCAGTTGTAGGTCATTTGCTAGGGAAGTGTCATTGAAGAAATGTCTAGACTTTAGATTGCAAAGACAAAACTCTTGTGATTAGGTTGGTGGCAACAAATGCTATATTAACCATAAAAGAAAAGGCGGGCTTAAAAAAAGGGGATGAACCCAAATACCTACCAAATCACCATAAGCCAACCCCAGGGAAGCCCCAAACAATTGTCTACAGTATAAGGTCTGATTCACTGTGGAGGTGAGTAATACAGGTCACACACAAAGGCCCCCATGCAGAACCCCCAGCTCCTAATGTCATGTGTGAATGATAAATTATGACCATGACACGGTTGTATACTTAAAATGATTTAAGCATTTCCCATAATTTTTCTAAGTAACTGATACTTACACAAGCAGGTATAGTATTTATAGAATAAGCCAACAAATTTTCTTACCACTAAATGCGTCTTACTACTGGCCGTCGAGTCAGACTTTTCTACCGAGTTAAATTATTCAATAACTTAAATAAAATAATATATGAAGACTTGAACTGTATAAACCTTATAAAAATCTTAACAAGTAATTTATTATCAGACGATTAAATTACGAACAATGATGGAAATGGAATAGTGATAAACATGAACTATTAGTGTGATACTTGTTAGCAATGTCAAATATCACAATAACCTCATATAAATCATACCATTATGCAAATATGGAGCACCTGTGATATATATAAGGTAACACACCAAGCAGGGTTGCCAACTCGGGTTTTCAAATGTCGCTAGGCTGGTACCTAAAAGTAGCTAAATGACGCTAAATCTTCCATGGAAAGTCGCTAGCTATTATTCCCCCCCTTCAGTAATTTGATGCAAATAATATTTTCAAAATGCCGACTATAATGGACGGAGTATAAATAAAATGCATTATGTAAAAATAAAAACATTATTTTGTTTAAAGTTTAATGTGCACACTTACCTATTATTCAATAGTAATTGCATCCCAGTCCTCTTCGTAGTGTGAACAACTGTAGAGCTGGAAGCATGTGAAGTGCTTGGTTCAGGTTCTCTTGTAACTGTATGCCTCCACAGTCCCTATCTTTCTTAAAATATCACTAGGAAGTTCATAACTTGCACAACAGGTGTTCTGTCTTTTTAACCCATACTTTATTGTAAGAATTGCCTTTAATGTCGATAGTTTCATTTTGTTGCGCAATTTTGATTTCACAAAGTTCATATTACTAAATGTGCGCTCTACATCTGCGTTTGAATGCGGAAGAGATAAGGCAGCGAGTGCAATTTCAGCCAGATTATGGTAAGGGTTTTCACCTGTCGCATCTCTGTAATTTACCACTTCTGACCACAATTTTAGGGTGTTAGATGCATGGACGGGCTGACATCAAGTGATCAGGAAATAGACGTGTCCCTCCTTCTGTACCACGACCCATTCAAATGTATTAAACTTTTCTTATTATTTATTGTCCCTGTAACCCCGTTGCTATATATTATGGCTCGAAATTAGGAAAACTGAGTTTTCATGGACAGTCTAAAAGTATCCAGAAAGTCGCTAGATTTCTGTGGATATCTCTAGAGTCGCGACAAGTCTCAAATGGCTCTAAAATGTCGCTAGAAAAAACCAAAAGCTCTAGATCTAGCTACAAAGTCGCTAAGTTGGCAACTGTGACACCAAGTAATACACGCCAGGCTGAACAGTGTTGGATCATCTACACGAGTCTAATGGACACGCCTCTAAGGGTTTATTACCTCGAGGATGACATTTTGTTCCCTACCATTGACCGTGTCACTTATACTTGGTAGAGATAGTAGTACCGTAGAGTTGGCAAGTATGGAAGTATTACTGTAGTGATTAGTAGTATTAGCAAGATGACTTCTATAAAAAAGATTCCTAGTGTATTAGGAACAAGAAGAAGCAATACCTTGGACCAAGAACGGGACCAATTCGAGAGATCACAGGTACTTTTATTACTATTAATGTTTGGTGTGGATACTTTAGATTTTAAGGAAGGAGGGATGCTAGGAAGGAGGATATCCTGTTAACTGTGGGCGGGGCTCTTAACTTTATAATAACACACCATTCTTTATTATATTTACAGTTTTTTTCTTAAACTACTATACCAATACTAACCTTACTCACCCACCTATGTAATCGACCTCAAACTACACCGGTATATCCAATTTATCATTGCACAAACTCACAAAAAGGATGAATAGTTATTAATATTAGGAAATATGGCTATGTCTTAGTTTAGGGATTCTGTCTTCCTCATTGATTTAGAAGAACAATATATCTTCATGGTATGGTGTTCTCTAATGAAACCATACAGAACAGGAGCCTCGAGTACTGGTCCGATTAATTACCCAAATGTGCCCAAATGTACCCAAATGTAGCCGAAATGAAGTCAAATAATGGTCCTACATGAATAAATCGGACTGCCAATCACTTCTCGACTGGTATTTGGTGTCACAGTCACAAAAAATTGGTAAACTTAATTTAATCTGAGTTAATAGATCGAGTGCATGTACCTAACCTAACCTAACACAACTCAGATTAAATTAAATTTACCAATTTTTTGTGACTATGACACCAAATAATCGAGAAGTGATTTACAGCCCGATTTACGCTTATACGACCATCATTTGACTTCATTGCGGCTACATTTGGGTAATTACTCGCTCCTTCGGTACATGCACGCGATCTATTAACTCAGATCAAAGTAAGTTTTCCAATTTTTTGTGACTTTGTGACACCAAATACTAGTCGAGAAGTGATTAGCAGTCCGATTTATTCATGTAGGACCATTATTTGACTTCATTGCAGCTACATTTTGCTACGTTTGGGTACATTTGGGTAATTAGTCGGACCGTCAAGTACTGTATATAATGATTTCTTTCCCAGTTTTACTGCATATACTGTATACAGTACATACTGTGTTATCAGTGGTAATTAATGAACAACTCTGACCAATGGGTAGTATCATTGTTTTTGGGATCCAGCTATTTTTGAATCATTAGTTTAGACAATTGTAAAAGACATTTATTCTATGGCATTTTGGTAAATTTTTACTTTAGGATAGGAGTCCCTAGGAGTTGACCAATAGGTATTATTTTCTTGTAGCACCGTTCATTCCAACCACTAATCGATTATCATATTCGAATAAGACGTCTGATTATAAGATAATTTTCATCTATTACATTACCGACGGAAATGTATAATAACTGAGATAGCTCTTCCAAAATATTTTCTATTTTCTTCCACTAACATCCCGCCATTATCGTCTGCCTCTCCTCCAACACTGCGTGTCTCCTGCGTCCCCTTCATAAATCATCCTGCGCATGCGTTGCTGTACACGTCACACGGCCAATCAAAAGCATTTTTTATTTTGAAACCAATTAAAATGTTTTTGGGTTTAATTCGCGGTATTTTTGGCCCAATCAAATTCGAGTATTCTTTTTGGTCTCATATTTTGAAATTCAAGTTCAGTTCCGACCATGGAAGTCTGCGATGGGTGTCACGTAAAGTATATGGAGCTAATTGCGAGTTTTTGGAAAAAATAAACGAAGAAACTATATAATTTTTTCGATCGCATGGTGTTCTTCCAACCTCAGTAAAGTGTACTAAGAGCAAGACTGAATGTAAGTATCGCAAAGACCAACATATGTGGCGTTGTGTAAGAATCCCAGAATGCAACGACGAACAAGAACCAGGCCAATAAGGTAAGAAATAGGTGATTCCATCATATGGTGAGAGTCAGTTAAGTTAGGTCAGGTTAGGTTAGGTTTGATTATTGTTTTTCTTGTGTTTTATTGTGTATTTGTTAGTCGCTTAGGCACTTTTTTTTTCTCGGAAAACGTCAAACGAAAAAAAATCGTTAAAAAAAAACCCGGCTAATTTCCGCTAAAAAGGAAGGTCATATTCGGTCTCAGCTCACACAAGTACACTAGAAAAATATATTTTTAACTTGCTACAAGTGAACGGAGCTACAAGAAAAATTTACCGACCAATATTTTACAGATTGCCCCGGGGGGCTAGTTTATTGGGCACCCCCTTACATCCTGTGCAAGGTGAAGCGTAGAAGCGTTTACAGTGCCCAACTGGGAAGCATGCGGAGTTCATGCTTGCCTTTATGACTCATGCATTAAGGGCGTAAAAGGCCTGAAGGGTCATGGGTTTTGTCAGCAAGTTACATAAAGTGACAATGATGAGTGTGTGTGGGGGGAAAATTCCCGGTACAATTTATCTGTTTATGGCAAAATGTGGCAGGTCACTAATAATGTCAAGTGCCAGGCCTGTCACTAGGACCAGTGTAGTTTGTGGCGGAAATTACTCATTTTTGCCCCCCCCCCCAACAATAATGAGGGAGAGCCTGGAAAATCTGGGTTTTTGGGCAGGGGAGAAAACGAAAAAGTTATCTAACCTAACAAAACCTAACCCCTAGCTGGGCTAGCTTAAACTAACCTAAATGTTTCAGTCGCTAAAATCAATGGGGCACGTCGTGTCCGAAAGTACAATGCCTTCGTTACAAGTGGAAGGACCAGGGATACGTAAGAATTGGATAGAATTATCATCTTTCTCGTAAAACTCCGGAATAGACTTAAAATAATCGTAGGAGCACAAATGGCAACCACCCTCCACCACAGCCATTGTGAGACTAGTCAATGAAATGTAATTGGTCGAAAAATATTCGTGTGATGATATCGATACATCATTGGTTACGACTGGATGACGTCAGTCAATATTGCGCATGCGTGATGCGCTGTTAACATCTTCTCAGACGAAGACTGAAAACTCTGTAAAATCAATTAAATTAATTGTGTCGCTATTATCCATTTCCACCATGTATATATGGGGTTCAAAATGCTCAAAATAGCGAGATCTAAATGTTTGAGTAGATTACGTATATATTTCGGGCTCGCTATGTCCTTAAGTAAAATACAGTAGTCCTCGCTTAGCTTCTGCCCACTTAACGTTGTTTCGGTACTATATCGCTAATCTTTAGATACCCCAAATTCGTTTAGCATTTTGATGACTCGGCACAGCGTCGTTTTGTGTCGTCAAGAATAGTTCTGGACTATTTACGGCACATCACCCACTCGTCTTGCTGCGCTATGCTCTCTCGGCGTGGAACCTCACAGCGTCCCCAAACGATGCCAGTCTTTGTTAGGCCTCCACAGCGTTCATGCGCGGTAAAGTCTTTTTGCTCATAATACTGTACTGTAACAATTCAATGTAAGACCATTAGCCTCGCAACAAAAATAGAAGTTTTAAACCATTTTGAGAGGGAGTAGGAGCCACCCGTTGGGTCTCAGTGACTCTCCTCCGATCCACTACCCACCACACACACTCGTTCTACCACCTCCGCCCATCGGTGAGTACCATATTTTTCGGCTTAAAAGACGCACTTTTATGACAAAAATATACCTCGAAAATTACTATGCGTCTTCCAGGACATGAGTCGATGAGTTGTAGCAGAGGTTTTTGAAATCAGCCCCTTACAAAGACTGTTACCTCATTACAGTACTTAACAATTACAAGTATTCTCTATACAGTACTATAAAACTATTGATTTAATTAATATTGTTGATATACTGCAAAAAATAAAAATAAAAATAAACCCTTGCTGCTGTGTGGTTTGTTTATTAATGGCAGTGGTGCGGCAGTGCTATCTATTGAGGAATTGCTGAAGGTTGTCTGCTGGTCTCAAATGCAGGAATGTTTTTTTCTTTATATGTAGGCTCTCATATTTGGACACCTATTTACAATAGGCTTTCATATTTGGATATCCATTTAGACTGTAAAAACCCCACAAAATTAAAATCTTCCAAATTCAAATACAACTTCGTCACCCAAGTCAAAACACACACACAACAACATTAGCTGTCCTTATATTTACAACTTTACCACCACTGGTGGGTAGATATTTTTTTTTTAATTCAGAAACATTAATTAAAATATATATGAACAGTAAATTAGTGTTGCTTTCATATTCCTATGTAGAGTAATGACGATATGTTTTCACATGTGCTCACTTACATACGTGATCTCACTTTTTTTTACCCTTAATTGTTAGGTACTTCCATTGTTCCATTTATTAACATTAAATAACATTACTTAAAACAACCATATTAATTTTTCTACATTAATTTTAATACAGCTACAGTTTTATAATTATGTAGAACCAATCAGTCACTGGTTTTGCAAAAAGCAAGTTGTTTTTTTACTTTTCTCTTGTTTTTAAATAAAGATTTTTTTGTTTTATATAGACGTTGATATACATGTTTACATTTGCTTACCTTCTACTGTTGGAAAATATTTCCCGTCGTTGTCATACCGACAAAAACCAGAGAAAGAATGTAAACACTACAGCCCCTAAGATGTGGAGGTGACCAGGTGTATAAAATGAGTGCTGTATTAAAGATTTCACCTTCTTATACTGTACAGATTTTTTTTTAAATTGATGAAAATGACGACTGATAAGCAGTTCTAAGTGATGATATTCAAAGAGGTGTGTGTACTTGTGCCAAAAGGGCTGTATATCAAGCAACGGTTTCACTGGTGTAGGTAGTAGGCAGCTAATGTACCAAACAGGGAGGTACTACCGTCTGGGAAGATATTGGAAGCATAATGTATTGTCTAATGGTAGACTCTGCTGCTATGTGACCAAGTCCCAGGTTGATGATCTGACTTTCTGCAGGGTCTTAATTGTTTCTCTTACTTTGACAACACAACATACATACAGGTATATTGTTTCTCACTCTTGATATTTTTTTTCATTTTTGTATTTCTTTATTATTATTATTATTATTATTATTATTATTATTATTATTATTATTATTATTATTATTATTATTATTACTATTATTTTCGCCCCCTAGGCTCCAATGTGGGTCAGTGACCTGTGCCCAGGTGGGCTAAAACCAGTATTTTTTTTTTTTAGAATTTCATTTCCAAAATC